TCATATTACTGGAAGTCTGTGTGTCTGCACTTCCCAACAAGCCATGTCTGTACACCCATTTACAGCTCTGGAAAAAATTAAGAGACCTCTTAAAATTATCAGTTTCTCTGATTTTACTTTTCAAAGATACATGTTTGAGTGAAATGAACATTGTTCTTTTATCCTATGAACTACTGACAACACGTCTCTGAAATTCCAAGCAAAAATGTAGTGTTTATTTGCAGTTTGCAAAAAATTAGAAATGGTAAAAAAAAATGCAGTGCTTTCAGATCTCAAATAATGCAAAGAAAACAAGTTCATATTTGTTTAGAAACAACAATACTAATGTAATGCCCTGGTGCTAAACCCTTTAGTGACTTATGAACTAACGTTAAAGTCTATTTTCTGACCTACACAGAGTCAGGAGAAGGACTTCAGAACTACCTGGTGAACTCATGTGAACTCACTGCTGTTCACATTCTAGGATGTGAACAGCAGTGTTCTGGATCAGCTTCAGCTGTTTGATTGGCTTTTTAGGCAGACCTGCAAAGACACTGTTATCAACCTGACAAAAGATTGATAACAGGATACGTTTCTCTAGAATAGATCTTGCTGGGACATTAATCCTTTAAACCTAGAAATATTTTTCATATGATTGAAGGCAAACTTTCTAATTGTCTTTATGTGTCTCTGAAGGTTCAGGTCTGAGTCCATCGCTACACCCAGATTTCGGGCCTGATTGCCAGTTTGTAGCTGTAAAAACAAAAACTGCATGTTGATTATAGATCATTCTGCTTTTGGTCCAAAGATAACTTCAGTTTTGTTTCTGTTCAGCTGGAGACAGCTGTATGTATACAAACACTGATTTGTTCTAAGTATCTGTTCAATGCCTGGATGGCTCTCCTGTCCTGAGGACAGGGCCGGCCCAACCCTCCATGGGGCCCTAAACAAAATGTGGTTTTGGGGCCTTCTAGTTCTGCTAACAATGTGGACTGGCTGCAGTCAGCAGTCCGATCATTAGATCATTCACACACCTGCTATAAACCTATTGCATCTCTGGCAGTGCTGTTTACATTATACACATGCATAATATAGGTTACATTTATTGGCCAACTGATATATCAACCAGCTGATTTCTGGGATTTCCTTAATTTTGGGGGATTGTGTTTGGCCGATACTTACATGTGAAACTGATCTTATCCCCTAATCTTATCTTTGTCAGCAAAGGTTTATAAATCAGTCTCTGTCCTCTTCTGCTCTGCAGTGAGAGGTTTGACTGACAGACCGGCCCACCAGGAATATTGTTAATGTTTGCAGTTAACAATATTCACCCCACTGTTGCCAACTCGGTGACTTTCTTGCTATATTTAGCAACATTTCAGACAAAAAAAAATAAAAATATCAGCCAAAATTAAAATTGGCAGGCCAGGCTTTTTAAAGATTGGTAACCAGGGATCGGCCAGAAAACTGCAATCTGTGCAGCCAAACTTAAGATGGAATACATACACACATATTCATGACATTCTTTAATTAAATACATTTCTCTTAAGCGTTACTCCAATAGCTAAAAATTTAATTTATACCAGGTGAGTCTGTCTCCCCTGAGAATGTGGAC